GCGGGGGTTCAAGGTTTGGGGGCGACTGTGGGCCCGAGGGCGGGGATGTGGGGGCGTTTGGGGCGATCGGGAGGGAGGGCGGGGTGCGAGGGGACATGGGGACCCCGGTCTGCTGGCACCCAGTGTGTCCTGGCACACTGTCACTTCCTCCCTTGGGTGCCACGGTGTTGGGGGGGGTGGCCCCTCCCACCCCAACACACTCAGCTGCTTGTGCAAAGAGGCGCGCACACACACACACGTGTGCACATGCACATGTACACCACACACAGAGGCACGCGTGTGTGCTGGCATGCTCCCACCCACGCAAACACATGTGCAAATACACATGCATGCACACACATGTGCACACTCCCAGGTATGCACACGCCCCTGTACACGCACACACCCATGCGTGCACACCCACAAGCACACGTGTGCATACATGGAGGCATGCACATGCTTGCAAACATGCACACACATACGTATGCACGTGCACATATGCACACCCATGCACATATGCACACGAACACGCGTGCACGGACATGCTCACAATCCCATGCACACGCACACCGACATGCTCAAGCACACCCAGGCAGAGGCAGGCGCCTGCACACACCTGTGCGCCCTCCCATGCACATACATACTCGTGCACGTTTGCAGAGAGGCACATGCATGCGCACACCCATGCACGCGCATCCGTGTAGGCACTTGCACACACGTGCACATCCCTTCCCAAGGTTGCTTGTTAAAAAGTACCCGGGTAGGTAAATAGGGGGCAAGGCTGAGGGCCGCTGGCCGGGGGGCCGGAGCTGGGGTGGCCGCGCTGGGGGGGCTCAGCCCAGCTGCTAATGACCCACGGCCAGTGCCAGCTCTCTAATCCGTGCAGAGGTTCAGGACAAACTGTACCAGCGATTATATAAACCGACTCGCCTCTATTTATTTAATTCCCTTTTATTTATTTACCGCTCAGCCAATTGAAGGCAGGGGAGTGGTGCATCCCCCGGCCCTCTCCCGGCCCGCCGCAGTCCCAGCTGCCCACCAGCCGTCATGAAGGGCTGCCGTGGGCCCTGGCACTCCGTGTGTGCCCCTGCCACAGGCCTGCGTGTGCACCCGTGTTCCTCAGCGTATGCATGGTGGTGCCCTGTGATGTGTGCTAGGGGGACATGGCAATGCGCATGAGTGCACACACATGCAAACGTGCATGCAGGCACACTGACGTGTGCGCACACATGTGAGTTCACATGCACATGTGCACATGCCCGCATGGACACACGTGCACTTACATCCACATGTGCAAACACATCTATGCACAAACACACCACGTTTGCACACCGGCACCACACAGGGGGTGGTCAGCTCTGCCAGCTCCTGTCCCCTGACCCAGGAGGTGACATGAGGACACGAGGCCCCAGCCACGTCCCCAAAGGGACAAGAGCCCACTGGGGCCCAGGCAGGGAATGGGGAGTGGGCAGTTCCCATGGGGAAGGCACAGGACGCACTTGGGGTCCCCCATGTCCCCTGGCACAGTGGTGGCACGCTGAGCCGGCAGGCTCCCACCCTGACACCCTTCTCCCTCGGGGCAGACATGGGGGGGGGGGCTTGGGGAGCAGCTGAAGAGGCGCAGGGTGGGGGATGCTGGACCCTGCACCCCCCTCCTGCCGGCTGCCCCCTCCCCATGGCATCGCCCGCCCTTCCCCCGCCGTTACATAAAGGCATGATTACAGGAAATCAAGGGGCAAAATGTCTCACTCGAATTAATAACTGACTTCCTGCGGTTGCAGATTCACCTTCTGCGCTTGTTTATACCCCCGCCCCCCTGCCCGCTTCGGTTAATGCTCCCCGGCGCTGTTTGCCATTAACCTGCTCCAGCACCATGGGGAGGGCGACACTGGGGGCCCAGTTACCCCAGTATAGCCTGGGCAGGGATGTGGTGAGAGCCCTGTCCCCATCCGTCCTGGTCCCGCTCAGGCAGGAGTGGGAGACCTGGGGTCCTGTCCGCCCTGCCACCGCCTGCCCTGCGCCCTTGGCCACGGCACCCCAACCAGCTCCTGTGCAGGGGACAGGGCTGGGGACACGGGGAGGGGTCCAAGCCGAGGGTGGTGGGGCATGGCCAAGGCTCCCTCCTGTCCTCACGCCAGGGACATGGTCCCTCCACACCCTCCCCACCTCCCTGCACCCTGCCCAGACAGGGCCAGCCTATCCCAGCCAGCCTGGCACAGCACAGTGACCTCCCCGTCGCCAGCATCACCCGTCCCTGGATCTGCATCCCCCCCGCCCTCAGCAGCCTCCCAGTGCTCCCCACGCTCCCGTTTTCTAAGTGGGAGCAGGGCCGGCTCGCCGGGAGCTGGGGCCGGGCGCCGGGGAGCCGGGGCCAAGCCATTGTGCTGCGCCGACAACTCGCGCGGGAGAGCTGGTGTTCCCGGATGAACCCGGCTGGCGCAGCCATTTCCTGGTGCGTTTCTTCTATATTCCGAAAAAAAACAAACAAAATTCTTCTTAAACCAGTTAAGGTTGCTAAGAGACAACAATGTGCTTTACATGGTGCCTTATTGACAAAGCCCAGCTCTTAATAAGCTCAGAAGTGAACGGCGAGCGGCTTGGAAAGCCTACACTGCAGGGCTGGGAGCCGAGCGCGGTGGCCTCCTTCCTCCCTGCAAAATACCCTTAACTCTGCCCCTGGCAGCCCTGGGGAACGGCCCTTCTCCCCCAGGGCCGGGGCGGTGCCAGGGCTGGTACCCTGCTATCACCCCCCATCAGCTCTGCCAAGAGCCACCCCCGCGCCGCCCCCCCCCGCCCCCGCCGGCACCAACAGTGTTTTGGAGCCGCCTGCTTGGCACAGGTACAGCGCCGAAAGCTGCCTCCGCGCCCGTCTGCCAAACACCCACCGGCCTGGCTGGCTCCGCGCTGCCCGTCCCCGGTGCAGCGGGGTGTTGGGTGCCATGAGCCCAGCTATGGGCGATAAATCAGTCATCGGTGGAAGAGCAAACCGTTTCTGTGCGGGGTCAGACTTGGTGTCTGCGCCATCGTCGGCAAAGTTGCGGCAGGGAGAAGGGTCAGGCTGGGCTCTTTGGCGCAGGGTGCGAGGCGGGTGCCGAGCTCGCTGGGGCTTGGGCGAGGGCCCTGTCGGCGGCGTGTGCAGGCAGGAGCGGGCAGGGACCAGGTGCCAGGCAGGGCTGGCAGCCAGCTGGCATGGCAGGGCGGCCGCGGGGCGTTTCTGAGTGGCGGGCACCACCCTGTAGCTGGCGGGGGGTGGCAGGGGGACGGGTCAAGGTCGTCGCCTCTGCCACTTGCCTGCTGTGCCTGATGCATCACCCCCAGCCTGCCACTGTGCCGGGTGTCCCCAGGGGGACAGCTCCTTCCCGACCAGCAGCCTGGCCATCGGGGACCCCAGTGGGGCAGCATGGGGGACAGGGGACGGCTGAGATGGGGGAACAAGGCACGGGCAGGAGGTGACGAAAGCGGCGAGGCCAGGATGCTGGTCGGGAGGCGCTGGTTAGGGGGGGCACAGCACGAAGTTTGGGGCACCTTGGGCTGAGGCCGGGCACTCTCAGTGCTCCAGTGTCTGGCTCTGTCACCCCTCCTTTGCTGCAGCTCCCAGAGGAGCTCAGCACCCTCATTTTTCCCTCCACCGGTGATGTGGGTGCTCCAGCCCCCGCAGTGGGGTGAACCCGGCCCCAAGCATCCCCATGTCCCCCAGCTCCAGGTGCTGGCTCAGTGCCCGAAACGGTGCCAAACCCAGCCTCGGCCCCGCCACAGCTCCAGCCCCTGGGGAAAGGGGATGCTGAGGGCTCCTGGCTGCTCCCAAAACAGTCCAGGAGGAAAAACTGGTGCAGGAGCACACGGGTGAGGAAGAGGAGGATCTGGGGGGTGGGTAGCACCCCACTTGCACAGGCCCAGGCACTGGGGCGCCCATCAGCGCACAGAGCCTAGGAATGGCGATGGCTGAGTTGACTTTGGCTGGGGTGCGCGGCTCCTGTTCCTGCCTTGCCCTGCCGACGGCGACTTCTCCCAGCACCAGCCCCCGCAGCCTGGAGGGGGGCCAGCACCCCCACTCCCCCCCGGCAGCACTGCCCCTCGGCATCTCTGGGCATGGAGGGGTGACAGACACAGGCGACGGGAGGGGAGATGCCACCCCGCAGCATCTCACGCTCACCCAGCACCCCCTCCCCAGGAGGGCTCGGATACCACTTCTCCCAACGCCGGGGGCAGGTGGGGGACGGGGCCGGATCCGCGCCTGCCTTGGCCACGTCCCCAGCTTTTCAGCTTAGCGTTCAAATCAGCTTGTGAGGTGCCGCTGCTTAGCACCCAAATCCCCAGCCAGGGCTAAAAATAACCCCCCGGGCTCGGCGGGTAGCAGCAGGCCCCTGCCGGGGAGGGGGGGGGACGAGGACCGGGAGGTAGGAGCTGGCCCCATTGCTTAGCCAGGTGCCCTCGCCCACCACAGGGCTCCTCGAGGCTCTTGTCCCCGGGGAGAAGGGGGGTGGGGGGGTGGCCCAGCAGTGCCACCAGTTCCTCCCACTGGCACGACTGGGAGCGGTGCCGGGCACTGCCGGCCTCACAAGCGGGGCCAGGGATTTTCACCCACTGGCAGCAGCTCTGCGGTAAACCCAGGAGGGTGTTTCAGGGGGAGGGTTTAATGTTCTCGTCCTCCCCCTGTGACACCTGTGTTGCTTTCACACCGCCCCTGCCCACCCTTGTCCCTGGCACAGCCCCAGTGCCCGGCCCCATGGACCGTGTGCCCAGCCAGCCGCCCCTGCCTGTGAGTTTGGGCAGCCTCAGCCCCCAGGGGAGGTGTTTGGGGGGGACCACTGGGACCACTTGGCTGTTGGGAGGTGCGCGGGGGG